CAATTTCTTTCTTTAGGCACTATGAAGAAATCACACAAGAAACACAGAATCCACTAATCAGCCAAAGGAACAAGAGCAGAAAAAGTTTGCTAAATTGAAGTGCTATATGTTGGGCCAAGTAAAAGGGAATGCTGTGGAGGCTAATGTCCAAAAGACTGCACACTTTTTATCCCTGCCGGTGTAGGTAGAGCCTCTCTCATAGTTTGGCTTCTTCAGCATCAGAAGAGGAAGACATTGAAGTTTGTTAATTGATCTACAATTAGTCAACATGTTTCATAAGATTGAGAAACTAGACATCTCTATGCAATTAATAGAGAAAAGTCAGTATGTTATTAGGGAAGAAAATCTAAAGAGCTCCGGACTGTTGACAAAGTCTTTAATATAAGGTAATGCTATGTTGCATCACAGGTTGAAGCCACTGGAAAATAAATCCACATCCTCCAACAGGTGGGCAAATCGACTTACAAGAGGGTGCAGTGAGAAATAATCCTATTATTTCTTTAGGGAAGTTATTTGAGGAACTGTGGGGTAAGAGATTTGATCTGGAACTACCCTTCCACAGAGAGAGAGTCATTGATTTACCTTCTTCCTGTGCAATACCTAGACAAGAAGGTGTGGTGAGAAGAGAAATAGATAGGACTCTACTAGCTGCATTTAATGCTCTAGCAAATGGTTATTTTGAAATTGATTTTTTTTTTTAAGTTATCTACTCAATTGTTACAGAATGTAACCTTTCCTGACATCATTCATAAGACTAGCACACATGGTTCAAGTTTGTAACGGAAGACTTCAGCAAAATTGGAGCATAATTTGCAATTTTATATCCAGCAAGTTGTGAGTTATGAGGGGCCAACAAATATATTTTTCTAGATTATTAGGAGACTTGGAATGTTTTGCTGTCTAAGCTCCTTTCTCAATCTTTAACAGAAGATCAAATATTGGAAGAAACTAATGGTTTAGAAATTACTAAGAATTCTCTCCTTCCAACCTTTGGATAATCAATACATTGTAAATCTAACAGAATATATGTGCTGTCAAAATATACAGCTTTACTCAGTAATTGGTATCATAACTGAGTTTGATTGGGCAAACATTAGAGATTTATTTTTTCCTCTTTTGGAAGGAAGAGTAATTGTATTCATGACCTTACTGTAAATGATTTTTATGTTGACCTCTTAAAATGATAAATAGTTTAAAAACTTGCTTAAATCAAGAAGTCAAAATTCAGAATATTAAACTTATTGCAGGGAATCAGGAAGGGATTCTTTACTTCAGGGAATTTCAGTAGGTGAGATCTATATGTTGCTGTATTTAATACCTAAGGGTATGTCTACACTGCAATTAAAAACCCACAGCTGGCCTGTGTCAGCTGACTCGGGCTCATGGGGCTCGGTATAAAGGGCTGATTAACTGCAATGCAGCTGTTCGGGCCTGGGCTGTAGCCCAAGCTCTGCGACCTTCCCACTCTGTAGGGTCCTAGAGCCCAGGCTCCAGCCTGAATATGTACACCTCAATTCAACACCTCTTTAGCCCAAGCCAGTTGGCACAGGCCAGGTGCAGGTGTTTAATTGCAGTGTAGATATACCCTAAAATACAGCGATTTGAATTCTGTATGGTGTTTTCTCCTCAAATTTCAATTCTCTTGATATACATGTATTTTCTCTTTTTAAATAATTTCACCTCTTATTTTTATTTAACATAGTTTCTGGACTAGGCATTTGCAAATAAATGCTGCCCTCTTCTGGCTACACAAAGTCACCAACATCTAATCCTTTGAAATAAAACCCAGTCATTTGGCTTGGTTACTCAATAGCACTTGCAGAGACATTTGGATTTATGGAGTGTACACATTAATCAATCAATCAAGATTTATCTTGTTGTGATGCTTTATATTCAGGAGACCCTGCTCCTGGACCTAAGCTCAACTAACTAGAGAATGCTGACTACATGGCAAGCTCCAGCAGCATCCAGTGTTTGTATTTGTCACGACATACTATGTTTCTGTTCCATCACAAATACAGAGAGCCTATGAGATGTCGGATTAGTTCCTTGGATGAGATGTTAAAACTACATCCCTTGTACTAGTGTGTGTTGTTTACCCAAGCTAAACATCCCCAAACACTTTCCAAAATGAGTAAACAAAAAACTTATTCCAAACCACATATCTCCTACTCAAAAATGGGGTTTTAATATTCCAGGTTGTATGTGAGCTCCTACTGACTATATAACTCCTGCTGTACTTGCCTACAAAGTCGTTGCACTGCTAGTATCCAGTTCAATTGTTTTAAAATGTGTAGTAAACCAAGTTGTCAGTCCTTCCTCTTTATGCATTCTCCTGCAGCATTCGTACAATAGAATATGGTATCATATACACCGCATGTAAATTAGTCTTTTTAAAGACCGTTTTCTCTTTTCATCTCCATGGAAAAGTTTTTGCTTGGGAACTTACCAATATCATATGCCATAAAATCTGAAGAAAAGCACTTAGCACCATGGCTCATTGATGTGTCATTGTGTGTATTTCCTCCAAACACCAGCATGGTTCCACTCATTATCACAGCAGTGTGCAAATAGCGGAAAAATCTACTATCTTTAAGAATTGTCCTTCAGAAATGAAAAAAAAAACAATTTTTTTTTTTTTTTAAGAAACTAACCACCACCTGACAAAGACAAAGTAATTTCCAAAACCCACTTTGGAGAGAGATTTGTGGTGGTAATCCACTTAATTATTTTTCTAATATAATATGCAATGGCCTTTTCTTTCCAGTCTGCTCCTTGCCTCCTATAATTTGATTTCCTCTTCTCAACTACCCTCCCTCCCCCCGATTCTTGGGCCATCTTCATTCAGTGGCATTCCACTGAAACATCTTGTCCTGGACGAGGATGTAATACATCCATCTGCCACCTCCAGTCTTCACCAAAAATCAATATTTAGCATACGGCCAGCAACAGCCATTGAGCCAGAAACTACCTGGGAGAATTTCATGATTGTCCTGTGGTTACAAAACCCTAAACCAACCCAAATGGGTCATTTAAATTGGATGCTGTCCCTCCCTCAACCTAAGCCTTGACTAAAACTTCTGAACTAGTAATATAGCCCTGCAGATTAATACATGTAAAACTGGATGCGTCATCCATGATTAAATCATGGACAGCATTAAATTATATTAGCCACTGACCTTGCATCAAATCAACACGATTAACAGTACTGAGAGCTAAACGGAGCACTCTCTTCCGTGATTTCCCCGTTGTTTTGAGAGAGTAAGGCCTTAAAAGGTTTTGGGTGGAATGCATAGCTGACTGAATATCAGTTTCCTGGCTATGTGGGTTCATGCCACCAGAACCAGCAAAGTTGTTATAGCTGGGATGCTGCTGGACATCAGCATTGTGATTGTAGTTCATGTGGAGGGAAAGATTTTCCCTACCTGTAAGTCACATTTCTACAGCAAAGCACTCAACAATGCAGCCCAATGACCTGCTCTGATTTGGAATACAGAGCTGAGCGCTGTGGTGCTTCCTGCATGGAAGGAGTTCCTGAACACTGCTCTATTCCTGGCCGGAGGCCGGAATGCAAAAGCCTGTTGAGCAACCAGCCAAAAGCATGGGTGGGCTTTTGAAGCACCATTCCCCTTAAAGGGGAGGGAAGTGCTAAGAAAAAAATGGGCTGCCAGAAGGCAGTTTAGGAGATCTTATGGGATGTACCACCAGTCCTGAGAAGGGAGCGAAACTTCTAACGTTAGTTGGGCAGAAAGGAGTGGGCTCTCAACCTGAAACCCAAGTCACAGAAAACAGTAGTATTCTACCTTCAGTTTAATTAACCAGATAATACTTCATCATTCTGCAAACAGCCAGTACCCTAATACATTACATGCAGATGAGGTCAGAAGGTGAAAAAATACTTACCACATCCGTGTATCAACTTCATATTTGTATAAGTCATCTGCTAGTCTATATTTGTTGGCACTGAACGCTTTGTAACCTCCATGGATATAGATTGATTTGGTGTTTGGATCGTAAACACTGCTGTGACCATACCCTCCCTGCACCAAGGCTCCACTTGTTTGTAAAATATTCCATGTATTTGTCGCTAAGAAGAGAAAAAAACTTGTATGTGACAAAAGACATGTAATGTATCAGCACTGAAAACAGGTCAATAGATTTAGCTAGGAAACAAACTCTCCCTTAACTCAAAACCATTAGCACTGCATACTCCATAGCTACAGCCTCTCTCTGTCTTTACTGTTTAAGAGGCAGTCTGAGTTACTCCTCAAAGAAGAAAAAAAAAACTGCCTACTCAGTGGGTAAATTAGCTGCCAAGAGGTACTGTGCTGTCAGATTTTTTTAATTAGACCATAAGCATTCTCCTCCAACACTCATTCATTAAACTTCAAAGACAAGCCAAGAGAGTGAAATACAAAAAGCATTAAAATTATCTGTCACATTTTGGTGACATCAAATCACCAGTAAAGTTACTTAATTTGTTATGGTATCCGAAAGCACTCTTTTTGAATATTCTATAGATTTAAGGCAAGAAAGTATAGAAGCCAAACTCACTGGGATATATTTTTTAAAAGAATGCCCGCCTCGTGGCCTAACTATAGTGTTCTTCATAGCCACGCTTGAGATCCCAGGCCCTGGTCCCTCACTCCCTGGAATGGCAGGGCTTGAAGTATAACAAAGGAAACATCATAAGCCTGAGAGAAACATTTTACCCAACTAAACACCAAAACTTTTTTTTTTTCCTCCAATTAAGGAGCAATGCTGAGAGGCTCTGAAGGAAATGCCATGCAGACTTCCCAAGACAGGCAAATACGGGAAGAAAGAAAGTAACTTCAGGGTTCTGACAGATATTCAAGGAACTTCTTCCCAAAAATTAAAGGAAATGAATGGTGTAGCCTTTGGAAACTTATGCACGTGGGTGTCTTTAAGAACTAGGAAGAAAATCATATCCAAGTTCCCACACCATAATTTCCTAAAGCAGCAGACCCTAGCTCTGAATACAAGTCTATCTCCCCAAAGGCATTTTTCCATGCAGGAAATATAAAACTGAGGATGAAGGAGACTCCCCTAACGAACCAAGACGGTCTCTTGGTTTGTTTCTATCACAATCATTGCCTCTGTTTGACCATAGATTGGGACACAGTTGTTGTTCATATATCAGGAGACTATGTGTTTCCTAGATACCAAAACAAGTTTTGGACTGTTTTTATTTAAAGGAGAGGGTGGCACAGGGGGAAAAATGCCTCTTCCCAGCTTTAATACTACGCAACAATCAGCTGTATAGAATTTTTGCCAAAGTAATACAGATAATCTGAATGACCCGTGAGGGAGATTTTGGTATCCATATTTGCCATAGCTTCTGATGCCACCATTCAACATGGCAGTCTAGAAATCCTGTTTCCTTTTGCTCGCTTCTTAAGAAAGTCACAAATTCCGATCACCAGCTATTTCAGATACAGTAACTACATCCCAGCATGTCACCTAAGGGCACTGCATGCCTAGATTAAACAAAAAGCTCTCCAGGTAAATCAAAAAGTCAAACTAATTCCAGGACTGTGACATTAGAGATTTAAAGGAGGACTAGTAAAAAACTCGGCAGTGGCTAACTACAAAATTTGGCCCCAACCAAACGTTGGGTACCACTGACTTAAAATCAAGATAAAACTGCAATGAATTAAGGAAGTAAAAAAGTTATTTATGAAAATGAACTGGAAGAGCTAACACATATATGAATACAATGTATAAACCAATAATATACTGCAAAAATGATGATTTGCTGTTTATAGTATGCTAATACTTATAGGCACCAATTGAGATCAGTGCTTTACTGTCTTGGACATTGTATATAAATACAGCAAGACACAGCAACCATCTGGGAGAGCATACAGTCTAACTTTTATATCTGAACGTCTCTAAAAGCTGATGAACTTCTGAGATACAAATAGCTTTTGGTGAATGTATGCATATGTGTGAAATACAATACATGAAATGTGAATCCAGTCACCCCCAAAGAGGATGACGCTACATAACGTTTTATCTGGGCTCTAGGTACTAAATGCAGCAATACATATACAAGAAGAAAGGCATCCCACTCACAAGTAAAGAACAGAATTGTTTTAAATTCATTTCATAATGAATCTGACTCAATTATTCACATATCATGCATAATGAAAGCTGCTACAAAACAGAGTTTGTAGCTTTCCAAACTTCAAGAAAAAATCATGGAGAGTTTGAGGTTTCATTCTGCAGGCCTGGTAGGGAGACACCATGGTGGGGAGACACCAACACTTCCCACAGTCAAAAAAGGCTCTCCACAAGCCTTGCAAGAGTGTGGCATTCCTGGTATTTTAGTTACGTATCTACTTTGCTGTGTATTTTTAGAATGCTGTCAACAAAACTCAAAGTTGCTTCATAATCAGTTAGACTTGCCTCATAATTCATTGCAGTTCTATCACATATACTGGATAGCCATAAGGGGTACATGCCTTTCTAGTCACTGTACAGATATTCAAGCATTTTGTACACGACATTAGATCAAGTTCTAAAAAATATACTGTAGGGGAAAAAAAGAGGAACTTGAACATCAATAAGTTCAATATACTGTTTTTGCCTGGATCTGGTTAATGGTTGCAAACTGAACATTGAAATACAAACAAGTGGTAAGACTGTACCTACCAAGGTTATATTCCTGCACATTGCTGATATACCCATACAGAGGGCAGTGCCCAAAGATGATGAGCATAACAGCACTGCCATCTTCCAGAGTGACAATGTGTGCTGAGTGGCCAACAACTGCATACTGCTCCTTGGCTTTTGGGGTCACTTGAACCCATGACTCATTGTGTATATGGAATACCCACAGCTGATTGGTCACATTCCCCGTTGCATCTATTTTTCCTCCATACATATAGATTTTATTCTGGAAAAAAAGTTGGTTTAATAAAGAAATGATCAGACTTTTTGGCATTAACACACCACACATACAAAAGAAACCAACTGCTATGGTTTATAGTTCCCCAACAAATGTCCACCACATATTGTGCAATGTATAGAAGATTTATACTAATAACTCCTGCTAATGCTAATGGAAAATTAAATGAAGGTCTTCTAAGCATCCATGGAAGATCCAACCGTTTCACTGGATGTTAAACAAAAATTAAGAAAAATTGTTTCTCAATATTTTTCCTTCTTAGTATAAGGTAAATAAAACTATTTGACTCCTCCTCAGCCTCACTCTGGAAAAGCACTACAGTAAGCATACCTTTTTCTTGTTAACTATTAAGGAGTTATGGTAGAGTTTAACAAGGGCAAAGCAAACCTAGGGCAACATCTGTCCATCTCCTCCTGGTCTTACTCAAATTATGTTGTCTGATGCACAACGTACTTAGGGAGGAAAAAAAGTAAATTCCCTATGCTATCCTCCCTACCTCAAGAAAAATAAAAATGAAAAGTCTGTTATTTAAAAAGTCTATGACTACTAAGCAAGTGAAGAGCCTCAAAATATTTAACCAGTTAGGATCTATCAAAAGATGAAGTCTGAAATTATGCTAATATACAAATGACACATCCAGCCGTATTCTTTGTGTATTTGTATTCAAAAAAATTCCAACACAATGTATATGCCACTAAATTTAACTGTCTGGTAGGATTACCTTAAGGTGAACTTTTTGTTTTCTTTTCTTTTATCCCTCGGGCTGCCCTTGCCACTCAGTTAAGTAAGCAATGCTTCTCCCAAGACATTATATACACAGAACTAAAACAACTGAAAGCAAGATTTAATTAGCACTAATACATCTACCAACCTCGTGTAACGCCAATGAATGACCATATCTGATCTCTACAGAGTTCACAGTGCTGTTCAGTGCAAGCCACTCCTCAGAAACAAGGTCATACCTGTATAAATGAGAATTTGAGATTTTTCTGTGTAATTTATATACAAATTTACCTGTCCTCCTCTGGATTTGTTAGGAAAGATATATTAATAAAAAGTGTGAAGACACATGGTTACAAATTATATACAACAAAAAATCTTTTATGGATAAAAGTTAAACTTAAGCAGTATACTTTAAACAAATATACTTTTGTTTCTTTACCATAGGAAGAAAGTGTTGCACTTCCCTATGCAAAACCAAGAGTGACAACATTCACAACGGAGCTATGCCAATTTATATCAACGGAGGATCTGCCCAAAGGTGTGTCAAAAATAGGTTCTACAAAAGCTCAGGGTAAATTCCAACATTCCTACAGGAAACCGTCAGTATTCATAGCATAGTATTTTTTAATTACACTTTCATCATTCAACCATAAAAACTCTCTCTAAACTTAATTTGGCACAGGAAATCAACAAGAGAAAGATCCCATCAAAAAAAAAAGTTCATTGGCTTTACAGCTAGGGAAGTAGCTATATTTGCAATGCTTACATTTATGTAAAGAAAAATCAGCTTTAAGATAAATCTTTAATGAAGTCTAGCCGCATGTGTTTAGTGAGATGAAAAAACAAGGCAAGTCTTTGAAAAACTAGCTAGTGAAAATGAGGAAGGACTGCCTTGCAATGATATGTGAATTTTCAAATAACCTTCAAGTATGGCTTAGAGAAACTGCTACTTATGGACCAAACGCTGTCCCCAATTCTGAATGCATGACTCTCACTGAAGCTGACGGAAGCTATATGTATGCATTTTAGGGCAGAATTAGGCCCTATACCTTTCAGTTTGTAACACTATCTGGGTGGTTTAAAAGCTTTCCACAGAGAATATTAGTGTGCACTTAATGATAATTGTATAAATGATATAACAATATTTGTCACAACAGTGGGTGTCATCCTCATTTTACAGATGAGGGCACAGAGTTTAAATGACTTGCTCAAAGTCATACAGTGAGTC